CCTGGCCAGTGTCCCCTGCCTGAGCCCGGGCATGGACGTGGCTCCTGCAGCGGCTCTGGGGACACTGCGCTGGAAAAGAGAGGGGAGCATCTCACTGCCCTCTCCCCATCCCTCTCCCAAAGCTGGCGCACCTGCAGCTGCTGTTCACTGGCGTGTGCTGCTGAGTTTCCTTGTTCGGCACCCCTGGGCGCAGTGATGCTGAGAGCGGCTCGAACGCGCTCCAGAGTGCAACACACAACCCAAACCGTCAAACTCTAAGGGACAAAACGCCGAAGTGCAGGCGCAAGACGGTACCCGGCAGCACTCCCGCTGTGCTGGAGTGTGGGAATGGAGAGGACCAGACAGCGTCCGCTCAACCAGGGAGTAAAGGTCTGGGGGCAAACAACTAATATTGCTTGAATGGGTGAGACCAACCCACCTCACTTTTGAAGTTTCAGAGAGGTTCCCTCTGTCAAATCTGGTTGTCCAGGCTGAATTTACACCAGGGGAAAATGGGGGAAATGGAAGCACCCAAAAAAAAAATGGAGGGGAAAATGCAGATACCACTATGGGACAGTTCATCCCCTTCCCAGAAATGGTCCGTGGGATGAATCTGCTTCTGCGATTACGTGTTTCTGCGTGGTGCGTGGCCTGCCTGGGCACACAGGGACCCGAAAACACCCACAGCTGCAGGGCAAGAGCCCAGGGAGAAGGTGCCTGGGATGCACAGAGACACCCACAGACAAGCAAACAGCGGGAACAGCAGCACAGACCTCTCCTCTAACTTTTCCATCTGGCCTAGGCACTGAGAATGAGTTGTCTCTCTTACTTTCCTGCAGTGTCCTAGCAGAGACTCATTCATTTAAAAATGTGGAACTAAATTATATTGATGGAAAAGGTAATGATAAGGGGCAGGGCCCTGCAAGAGGTAGGTCTGTGATGCCTCAAGCTATATCTTCGGCAACGGCAGCATCGGTAAATGGGCCTTTCTCATTTCTTTTTCCTTTTTCCTCCCTCTTCCAGGCTCGCAAGGAGAAGAGTCAGATGGTCCCGCAGCCTCTTGGGCTGGCGACGTCCCTTACCGCAGCGTCTGCAGCTGGCAGGCGCCGTGTCTCAGCCCCTCGCACAGCAGCTTCATGCCGCCGTCCCTCAGGTCCTCGTTCCCAGCCAGGTCCAGCTCCGTCAGGGTGGGGTTTGTGCTGAGAACGGAGGCCAGAGCCCCGCAGCATGCGCCTGTGAGCTGACACCGATCAAGCCTGCAAGAGAGATGCGGAGAGGAGCCACGGGGCTCGGCACAGCTGCCCTGCCGCGTGGACACACCAGCCGACCCCTTGCTGACATAGCTACCGCTGATGATGTCCACAAACCGGGCTGGTCTTCACGGATGGCCTCCTGGGAGCAGGAGAAGAGCCCATCCCGGCCTGCAGCGAGCCGTGGCGGCACGTGGTCATCCTCCCCGTGCCGCGAGGAGACCCAGCCGGGCTGGCTGGGGTTTGCTTGTTTTCCCGTTTCACCCGGCAGAGAAGAGCGACGTACCTTAACATCTTTAATTTACAGCCCGATTTTTCCAAGGCTTGACAAAGCAGGTGGATAGGTGACTGCTGCCCCTCCTCTTGCTGTTTTTCCCTGAAAACAAAGAAGAGATGCATCCTATTCCTAGTCCTACTCCTACTCCTATTCTATTCCTACCTTAGTCTATTCCTATCCTAGTCTATTCCTTTCCTATTCTATTCCCATTCCTATCCTATTCCCGTTCCTATCCTATTCCTGTTCCTATCTTATTCTATTCCTGTTCTGTTCTGTTCTATTCTATCCTATTCCTATTCCTATTCCTATTCCTATTCCTAATCTATTCCTATTTCTATCCCTATTCCAGTATTGCTCCTTGGCCACCGGCTGTGTCCCTAGGTCACGCCCGTACCCCCTTGCCGACGTGCCCGGCACGGCAGGAGGACCAGCCTTGCCGTGGGCTCCTCTGCGGGGTCATCACAGATCTTTGGGCTCTAAGGGGTTTGCCGCTTTGCGGCTCGGGACCTTACGCACCGACACGCCTGCTTGGCCGGCTGCGGTCCCGCACAGTCCTCGGGTTCGTCCCACAGAAAGGAGCAGTGCCCCAGGTCAAGCGACTCCAGCTTGGGGAAGTTTCTGACGCTGAAGGAAAGGACCATTTGATCGAAGCGGTTGAGGTTGAGCCCCCGTAGGTACACCCCCGTGAAAGGATCCAAGGCGGCCGCTACAAAATGCTCGTCCTGGAGCTCGTACAGACAGTGGCAGACCTCCAGCTCGCAAATCACCGCCGTCTCCTGCATCAGAAGAGCTAGGGCTGTTTTCTGGCTGTTTTGAAGCCACGCCAGTAATTCCTGCGTAATCCTGGGTGCGATTTTACACCCCATCTCCTCCTCCAGCTCCCTCCTGCGCTCCTTGTTCAAGAGCCCGAAGAGGAACCGCACAGTTAGCATGAAGTAGTTCCTGGAGTTGTCGTAGCTGTCCAGCAGCTCCTTCACGTCCCTGGTGGGACTGGCGGGGGGTTCCCACGCCTCCCCTTCATCTTCCAGCAGGTAGAAGAGCGCGGCAAAAAACTCCTGGAAGCTGAGGTGGATGAAGCTGTAGGTGCTGACGCAGGAAATGTCCTTCTGGAAGAGGTGTTCGTTGAGGAGGAGCGGGAGGGCTTCTCGCTGGTCCAGCGCATACCCCTGCACCTCCTTCTCCTCAAAAAGGACCTTTTGCTTCCAGATGCCGTCGGCCGCCAGGCAGCACAGCCTCCTGAGCACCCCGGGCATGCCTCGCTTCAGCTGGCCGCTCAGAGACCGGAGCAGGGCGGAGAGGTAGAGGATGTAGATCCCCGTCGTAGTCTTCGGGCTCTGGGTGAGACCCCCGGTGCGGCTGAGCTGCTGCTTCATGACGGTGCAGACGATCCAGCACACGATGGGCACCAGGCACATGTAAAGAGCGTCTCGTTCCCTCTGACAAACTGGAAGGCGGCAGCTGCCTGCTCTGCATTTTCGAAAAACCTGTGGAAATACTCCTTCCTCTCTGCCTCCGAAAACCCCAGGATTTCAGCGTAGCGCTCGCACTCCAGGCACTTGACCAGTTTCTGCAGGGCGGCCGGCCTCGTGGTGACGAGCAGGGAGCTCTCGGGCAGGAGCCTCCGGCGGAAGAGGCTGCTCAGGGTGATTTCCACCGGCCTCTTCTCCCAGGCCTGGGAGCACAGCTCGGACTGGGGCCGGTCAAAGGAAAAGCGGAGCTCGTCGAAGCCGTCAATCACGAACAGGAGCCTCTCCGGCTGCCCCAGCATCTCGGTGAGCGGCGGAGAGGTGCTGGGACAGGACTGGGTGATGAGGTCGGCCACGCTGGCCTGGCTGGTGAGGAGGTTGCCCTCCCGGCAGTGGATGTAGAAGACGTAGTCAAACTCCGCAAACACCGTGTCGGACGCCCAGTCCAGCATGATCTTCCTGGCTGTCATGGTCTTGCCCACGCCCGCGGCTCCCAGGAGCACGACCACCTTGGGGGTCCAGCCATCAGGACAGGGCTTGAAGAGGTCGCCGACAGCGATGGAGGAGCTGGCTTGCTTCTTCATGATCTCCGCGTGCCTCCGTCCCATGGCCATGATCTCGTGCTCCCGTTGCTCTTCGTCGCGGTGCTTGTTGACAATCACCAGCTTCGAGTACCTGGCGTTCAGGCTCACGTTATCGCCCACCCGGGCGTTTCGGTCCTTTATGCAGCTGTACGCCTGGCGAATGGCTTTTTTGTAATTCCTCCGGTAATCTGGAAGGGTGGGAGGCCACCTCACGCATCTGCAGGCCGCGGGGCGGGCAGCGGCACAGCCCCCCGTGCTTTTCCCCGCCAGCACCTACCTGGTGACGATGAAACCAGCAGAGGCCCCAGGGCTGGAAGAGAAAGGGGTGTTAGTGGGCAGCATCACTGAGCCCCCGACACCCCCCAATGC